CCAATTTTAATTTAATTCCGTATTTCATATAATTTTCCATTCTCTAAATTTAAAAAATTATTTTTTCCAACATATGAAACTCTTTTGTTTAAAAATGATAGATTTAACTTCACTACGCTTTTTAGGATTAATTTAAATTATTCTCGCATTTTAAAACGATTCGAACTGAGTCAGTAAAAAAAAAAACAGAAAAAAGAATTCTTAAAATCCCTTAGCGTTTCTTTATTTTTGTCCATCCGCTTTGTATATTTCACGTTGCAATTAAAGATTTCATTTAACGCTGAGCACGAGCGATCAATGCAGAGATTGTGCCAGGTTAACGCCAAAAAACTTCTTTTTTACCAGTAATTCGAACTATACAGAGAAAATATGTTTTGTTTGAATACGCGCCTCGGGATTGCAGAGGCTCGCCGCTTTTTATTCTCTGTTCGTGCATGCATTGATGCAAATGGCCTTCTGTAACTGGCATTGTTAATTCGTTTATATCCTATTTGCTCGGACGAGATTACTTTGACTCGGACCGGAAAACGCCTAACGAAGCAATACGCGTGTTCATCGTACGATTCCTCCTACTTCCGCTTTCGCTCTGTGTGTCATCGTTTAAAACGATTTGTCGAATCGATTTCATTGACCAGTGAATTTCTTCCTATTAACGCGAACAGCTACACTTTCCAGCACTTTGTTACCGTAACATCCATGGACAGAAGAACAAATTTTGAAATGTAATAATTTACTTGAAGTATACGCGATTGTTTTGTACAAGAAAGAATAGAGAATATAATTTTTTTATTTTTTCGGTTTTAAATTTTTGCTTCGAAGTGTCACCAGTTTGTTATTTCTCAATCAATTGGAAAAATTCTACGCGGGACGATAGACAGTCTAGATTTATTTAATATTCCATTGTTCAAACTTTGTCCCAGAAACTTTCTCACCAAAGATCACATACATCCTTTTTAACTATTAGTGCTGTTTCAAAAAAGAAAAAATTGTAAAAACTATTTACGTCAAACATATCTCTGTATTTATTGGAAAATTTTGATCTATTATGTTAGTAATGTAGGGTAACAAATGGAAAGCTTGAAATCTGAAATTTATTAAATTAATTTTTTTTTTTAATGCTTAGAGTTTCAAGATGACTTTTTTCACTATGACAGTAAGCGTGTTATCATCTTTGTCATATTATTTACCGTTTATTTACTATCAGTTGTAGTTAGTTAGGCAAAGTACTCAAACATAGCACTCATACCTACGAAGCGCGTTCCTCTCGTTGAAGTACAGAGAATTAAGGTAATCTAGGATGATTCGACGGGAGTAGCTATCATATGTCAGGTAATACGTATGCACCTGCTTTCTATGGAAGACTCATAAACTAGTCTAGTTTACAGACACTTCTGTGCACGAGTACGCGTTGAATGCAGTGCATGACTAATGCAAGTATGTAATTAAAACTTTCCTCGTAATTCCTAGTACGTAAAACTTCGCACAGCTAAAACATGAGAAAATTTAAACACGTTTATACATATCAGCGAACGCGGAATATTGTATTCGAGAGCCAGTCGAGTGGCAAATTATCTAAAAGGATTCCGGTTCTGATGCCTTTAATTTTATCCATACGTATCAATTCTATCGATTAATTAATAAAAGCATATTTTGGAAGTGATTAAACTATCTGGAAGTCGTGTCCACAGAAAGTTGTTAAATATTTATATCAAAATTTATTAAATCTTAGCAGCTCAGTTTTTTAAAAATCCATCACTTTTGATATTTAAATTTATTTTCAAATTTCAAAATAGAAAACTTTACGTAAAAATTACATTATTCTTAATCACTTCGCTACGGTTCCCTCTGCCGGAAACTGTACCCGCACATTTTTATATTAAATCATCTAACTCAATTTCCGAGATTTTATTTGCAATGCGAAATTTTTAGCCATACGAAAATTTCAATTGCATGTTCGCTATTTTAAAATGTAAACGCTGCGTTAATCGTCCTCAGGTAGAGAAAGGGTTAATGCACATTCAGAACCGTAACCTTTAATAAAAACTAAGCCTGAAATACCTTTCTGTATATCACACATGGTCAGTCATTAATTGAGAGGATACGAAGAGTTTCGTGACTGGCTGTGTACACGGCGTTCGTAACGAAAGAATTAAAGCGTATCAGTACTATCGAAGCGTGTAACGCGTGTGTTATTAAATCCATCTTAGGTCGGCGTCATTAGCCCGAAAAGAGCTCGATTCTAAGAAGCGGGCAGAAATCGTTGAGTTAATATTGGCATCGGTGTGTTCGGCAGGTAAGAAAGGGACGGCGTCGTGTTGTATGCAATACGGACGTCATGCAACGGTGCACACGCGAGCAGAAAACTCTCGTGCAACAACATACCAGCCACTTTACGCTCCTCTACGCGCCAACCACCACGTTTCTTTACGTTCGCCTGTCGAAGGTGTTGTTTAAAAAACCTCTCTTCGTGTACGTGCAAGCGAACCGCTCGATAAAAATGATTACTTCGAACGTAAGATGTCTGAAAGAAAAAGGAAACAAGGGACGTACCTCGTGAAAATGTCAAATATCTATGATAAAAGAAATCGAAGAGTCCTTGAGTCTTTGCTCGATGATCTTAATTTTGATCCGCACTGTACTCAACTTGACCCGGTACACGGTAGGCGAACGTGTAGTTAACCACACACTCTTCAACAACCAATTCGCATGAACTTTCATCGTTGTAGAAAGGGGGGTGAACTAGCGGGGCGAAGCAGGGCGGTTGTTTCGTCGCAAATCATAGGTGTTGCGACGAGCGGGCGCACGATCTGACCGACGATTTCTTTGTAAACTACCGTTGTCGCCACGAAGACTCATTATGTTCGACCACGGCAATACAATATGCATGTTATATTTAGAATTCCGAACCCTCCTTTCAACCCCTGCCGCTATGAAGAAGGCTCGAGGATTCATGGAAGGACCGGTTAACGACGTGACCGTAACTTAGCGTGCCTTGAAATTCTGATATTTTATATTAACACCTTGATTGTCGCGCCGAAGCTGTTGAAAGTTTTATTGAAAAGTATTTTTATTTTGGATAAAGCTTGTGTTATTTCGTTACATTTATTTCTCTAATTAGATAAACCAAAGAATTTATTTTCACAACAATTGTTTATCGTCAATTTGCTATGTTAAATATCTATACGATACTACCTCAGGCATTTGGCAATGGTCTCTGAAGATATTTAACAGGCTTCTTCAAAAGCAATATTTTTTGTACATTTTGCATAATTAAATGAACGGATGAACGTTTTCATAGTGAAAATCAATAGTGCTAATCAACGTCAAACAAAAAAAATTGAATGTATTATGTGCTTCAATTGCTCTCATATGTTATTCAACAGATTACGATCGATTGATATTATATAAAGAAATGAATATTATAGAATAATAAATAATTGATCATATTATCGCGTTTCCACTTAAAAATCGTTTCCTCGTTCTACATTTTTTTGCTTTAAATACAGAAGCTATTTGGGAATACCATACATCTTTTCCAATAATATGTAAATATGGTAATATATTGTTTATTTTAACCAACCTACGTATCTCTTTATCGAATGTACAAAAACATTCGTGAGTGATTGTAATTGTTAATTGGAAAAAAATCTTGAGACCATCTACATTCATCACATTTACACATTTTTAAGTAATCAAAAATTAAAGTACCAATATTCTTTGCTAATTATCCTGTACAAATAATCAGGCTATCAATATACCTAATACTAAATTTCTGATTACTAAATACCTGATTACTAAATTTCATTAAGGTTAATACAAGCTATATCATCATCACTATTTTTATTAATTATTTTTTATCTTGCCTTCTCGTTAAACATCACGTGAAAACATTAATTTATTTTATCGACGTATCGCACTTTCGCAACTACTACCCCTGTTGCCTCGAAACATGAAACAATGTTCAATTAAATGTCCAGCACAATCGAAATCCAATACACTGGCTAACATTTATTTGCACACACGTATTTATCAATATGTTGGAATTAGTGGTTTGCTCGGTTATTTTCATGGTGTAACCAGGAATGGTAGGTCACGTGCGAACTAACCTGATATTTGCATCATTTTCACTAAAAATGATTCTCTTGCCAATGTATACAACGTTATCTTTTATTTCAGTTGCCTTTATTTGTTAATAATTTTCTTACCATAGAAAGCTGTATTTTTTGTTTAATTTTTCTTAGTTGACAAAATTGTAAAAATCAAACACAACCCCTTTTCTTTTTCATTTCTTTAAGACGTTATAGATTATTAGAGTTAAATAGAAGCGAGAATTATTAGAGTTAAATAGAAGCGAGTATATGATTCGACAAAGTCCTGCACCCTCGTTATCGCCCTTTTTCTTCTAAAAAGGCAAAAATTTTTCATCCCTTGTTATTGTTGTTTCCAGTTTCACGTTATTCTGGTTGTATCCGTTCTTTAATATTATTTCTTAGAATCAGCTATACTTGTGGATATTCAGAGATTTCCATAATGGTTTTCATGACAGTTTCCCGCCAAGTCTGTTGCTAAGCGGTTTCCCGCTGAGATTGTTATGCGGTTCTGTTCGGTCGCCAGTAGATCACCATCGCTTATCTCACTGTCACAGCACTGTGCAAACACGTCCGTCTGCCACGAATAATATGAACAATTTCCGTTCTTGTTGCATATTAAGTGACAATTTCATTGAGATCAATATTACGCAAATACCAATACCAATAATCGAATAATTTGCAGTTAATAAAGCTTATGAAATAAGTGAAATAATATACAAGTAAATTTTACATGCGTCGATGATTCGTGAATTTTAATAGAAATCTGTCATTTATTTTATATGGGATGATATTACTTATCCAACTGTACATGATTTTATTAAATACTTGAATGTATAGCTAATAGAAGAGCGATGCATCATAAAATCGATATATTCTAGATTTATTCAAAATAAAAAAAGTGGTACTTACAGCAATTTGTTCGTGGCATTCAAAGTGTTAAATTATACTAATATACATATGTATAGTAATCGCAAGGGAAATATATATAATTTTTCTTTATCAAATTATTACATGTAGTATCACTCAAGTATCACAATTTCAACGACCTTGCATTTGCCTCTGAGGATTAAACAATTGAACGTATGAGTATACTGCTGATCGCACAACAGTAGGTTCCCTACTGGCAAATTCTTACTACCAAACAATGAGAAGCTGTTCACAGTAGCTCCATCTTATAGCCATTTACTACATCTTACAGTTTAATAATCTTATACATGTATTTGTGTATATGCCTGAGTATGTATTATGTGTAAGTGGGAGCATCTGCAAGTCACACGAACAGCTGTTCTCTCAACGGTATAAGATTGCTGTCCACCGGGTCCCTTACTGGTTTCTCCTTATGGATCTCTTAACCAGGCCGAATGTAGGATCGTTTAGACCCAATGTGTATTGTATACTCTTTTACTATGTAAGAAAATTGGGCTTAAAAATCAAATAATACTGCTCAACTTTCATCGTTAACACGTTAACTGCCAGGGTAAAAATGAACATTTGTTGTAGAACGTATTGAAGCTCTAGTTATTAAGAAATAGGAATAGTTATTTTTCAAATTTCAAGCTTTCTATTTGCTACCTTACATTATTTGTACAATAGCAAATATTATGTTAACAACATCTTTCTGATTTTACTGAAGAAAAGTTTTTATAAGATATTTCTTCAGTGTTGTAAATTTTATCAATTCTTTTCTTCTTTTAGTACTAAAATTTCATTTTCTTTAGAAAATGATTTTTCATACTTTATCACCATTCCATGAGTATGGTGGTCGTATATTCCTTTCTATTGTACTTACTTGCTTGAAGTAGAAAGCTGTAAAATTATTTTTCGTATAAGATTATGCCGGGATAGCGCGAACGCAGTCCCGACTACCAAAAATTGTACGCCCGAGATATCCACATTAGGGATATTCGCAAGGGTCAGCTCAACCGTAGTGCAATGGAAGAGCCTCGCCCTGGAGGAACCGCCTTCATGATCACGGTAACCTCTGCGCCAGGTAAGTATGCTTAGCTACCCTCCTCGAGCGTATTTGTAAACCAGAGTGGCGCTCTTACTTGCGAGAGAACGCTGCATTTAAAGCGCACTGTAGCGGCGAGCATCTGAACTAAACCTGCTGTACTGCTCCCTACTCCCTACCGTCGAGCTCAGCATTTCACTCGAGTAATCATTGTCATATATTTATTCTTTCTTAATCCAAATAAAAAAAATATAGTAACTTGTATATATTATTATTAATCTGACATGATCAGTATTATTTAAACAATTATTATTTGAATTAAATTTGATATTCTTTTCTATATCTAATTATATTATTTATTTCAAAATTCATATATAGGGTAATATAAATCATTAATATTTTATTGATAATTAAATACTGTTGTATGTAACATGAAATCTCTTATTTTATGTTCTGTTTTATTTAATAACGATATTTATCTGATATAGAGGAAGTAAATATCAATGGAAAATATAAATTATTTGATGGAGTGTAACTGTCATTTAACAAGGAAAAAAGAATTTAATTCAAAATACATGTGTGTTTTAAATCTTAATGGTCTGCTACAACGATCAAAGGGCACACAGTTAAACGTGTTACAGTTTGCCTAGTTCATGTGCATACGCGTTATGTGGGTGTACGAAGTTGATTAAATCACTTGTCGATATTTGGTCGGCAGAGCGTAATAATTATCGCTCGTTAGCTCATTATGTTATCTGAATTTGTAATCAATATCAGGGCAAGACCAAAGGGTTGACGGATTCAGTCTCTCAGTACAACTATCAAATCTCTTCTGCGGTAACGTGCGTTAATTAGTAGTAACTTAAATGGCTAATGAATATAATATACCATGCACGATCAATCATAATTATCGCAATCAGATAAATCAACGTTGAACTACAATTTAAATATTAAAATTGTTTCTCAGGAAATTTTAATTGATTTTGTTAACGAATATTTTAACATCCAATTTACAAATGTGCTGCAAAGGTTTATAAATTTAATGTATTTAGTGTTTGATTGGATTTGAAAAAACCATTTTTAACGAGAAATTTATACTATAATGTATTTATAAAAATAGTACACAAAAAATTAAAAATGAATTACCTACATTAACAATTAAGAGGTATTACAGAATTAGTTAGGAAAACTGTTAGAGAAGAGCAACGGGGTCGTACTTTAATTAAACGCAAATTAAACGACTAATTTATCTAACCAGCTCGGCTAGCCTGCAGCGATGAACAATGGATAAAACGCGAAAAGCATGAAATATGCTCAACTGCGAGGAAGAAGTTACACTCGACGTTAAAAACTTGATAAAAGTTCTTAACTAGTCATGTAAACGACAAATTTGCGGATATATAATGAAATATATTGTTTCTTTTAAGAAATTTTGAAAGATTTTCTTTATGCAAATTAATTAAACTTTAAAATTATTGTACTTTCTGCCTTTTAATAAATATTGTGCATCGATATAGTAATTAATCTTTTGAATGGTAGAGGTGGATCTTTGTTCACTCGCAGGGTTTAAATTTAATTTGAAATTATTTCTCGTTTTCATTTTCTAAATTTCAAGTTCAACAAATTTAGGTTCAAAAAAAGTTTAAATACGAAAGATGTTGCAGAGAAAATAACGTTCTTTTTCAGTTCTTATTGTTTCTATTGTTTCATCCTGTGTGTACTTATTACTTGCAAATTGCAAGGAAAGTGAAGCTACTATCGTCAACAATTACGGAACACTGGTCATTTAGTCGATGCGGAACTGCATATTAAATAAATGTAACACGTTATGGAAACTTGTTCGCTGGTACAGAACAAACAAAAACAAACAACCAAAACACAATGAGTAGTAGGACAAACTTTCGTACGACCAACTAACCTCTTGTAGTGTAGTTGTTTCGCTGTCCCAGTGCCCCGTTAGTTTATTTAGTTCGTATACGGAAAGCTGAATCATTAAAATCGTTCCTATACTTGAAATAACTCTAGTTCCTCTGTTATCTGTTCATTAATACCAGACTAACTGATACATGTATATAATATATCTGAATTAAAAATAAATTGGAATAGTAAAAAGCAAATACAGGTGAAAAATAAACTAGCATATATCAGTGGTCTCGTATAGAAGTTAGGTATACAGGCATATACAGGTCAGGCTAACAATAAGTTCCACATGAAAAAATAAAACGAAAATATAAAATTTTGAAATCTTTTATGAAAGCTGAGCATATTGAATAAAAGAGTGTGATATTTTAAAATAGATTCTATATCTCAGGTATAACAGTGTTTATTAATTTAATAAAAATATGTTTAAAATAGATTTTATAAAGCTGTTTTCACAGTTGATTTTGTTCATTTTTTCTATCTTTTGAGGGAATTTTAAAATAGAATAATCACTGATGCCAAAAGCAGTTTGAAAATATATTGTTTTAACACTATTATTTAACAAAATAAATCTGGCACAATAGGTTTATCAAAGAATAGAGAAATGTGATTATTATTAGAGACTCGTTTTAAATGAAACGTTTAATTGCAAACTATTTTATTCGTATTAATTATGTCTCAATAATCCAATTTGATAGAATTATCGGATTTTTAAAAGTGTTATAAACCGCAGGATTCCTATTGAATACATATCCGGGTTTGTAGATTTGTCGAATAAATAAAGCAGATATCAATTATATCAATTGTAAAGGTATTTAATGTATGAAACGAATGATTTCAAACTACGCTAAACAGAGTTATGGAACTACGTATGTACACGTATTCGTAATATTTTTAGAGTGGAAGAGCGCAAATACGATACGCGTGTCAATGGAAAAATAATATTATAGTCAAAATTAAGTCTTAATTTATTTTCCACTTTTTCGACAATTAGAAATATTTAAAGAAATAGTTTAAAATTAAAAAATTCTAAATGATAAAGAATTTAAATTGTTATTTTTTCCGTTCGAAAGTTAAAAATAGTACAATTAAAAAGGTACAATTAATTAAAATTTTTTTATTTACAATAATTAAGTATGTGTTAAGTTGTTGAAAATTAGGTCGACTTTGAGAAAATCGAGTTTCGTGCGTTCGATTTTCAGTAAGAGGATATCGAGCACCTGCAGTACACTCACGTGCGCAAATGTGAAGAATACTTCTCCTGGATACGACCCACGGTATCTCGAATTATGAGACATCCTGAGCGTACGTGGTATAGGTTGGATATACAAGGTGTCTTCGCAGAAGCTAATCTTCTTAGGAAGTATTCCCATTTGGAAACATGAATAATACGTGGACTTTATGATCTCTCTCTTGAGCAGAAGGAAATAATGTATAAATTGGTTTTGCTAGGATATATTTATTGATATAACGACATACTTTTCTGAATTTTATTTAAAAGTAACAATTCTTCGAGATAGATCCCTGTTTTAGAAGAAAACCACCTCAATTCAAAAACATGAGATTTTCTATTATTATGATAACCAATAATACAAATATGGCATATTTTTATGTGAAAGGATATATTAGATAACTGAAATCATGGATATTATGTGAAAACATAATAAACTTTTCATTATGTTAAGGGAGCTAAAATAACTGAAACCCCATAGTTTTGCTAAGATTCTTCAATTCTTAACAAATCACTTGTTAGGTTAGAAGAAATTCTGCTAGAAATAAAATGAACTTTCGCACATTCAACTATTTCAGTGACTATCGTAAAACGATGTTCTAGTTTAATGGTTCACCTCATCACTTGATCTTCCACGATTGGAATTTTATTTTTGGTCTGCAATAAGGCTACGTATTTGCGGAAACACGTTTAAAAATTAAGAGCATCAATGTAATTGCAATGTAGCTGCAGTTAGTGTCAGTCTCTTTTAAGGTGAATCGAATTTTGTAAGTAGGAAACTTGTACCATTTATCTGATTAAGAATGCATTTCTGTTGCTGTATTTATTTTGTTGCACTTCTTGCAACTCCTAGAACATGAACGTTTCGGCCGAATAGATAGAAAACGGTGTTGGGGTCTATTCTGACCCGTAGTATCTATCTCATGATATGCAGTAGACTGAATATGAAAGAAGAATATAAAACAAATTATAATGAGGAATAATAAAAATAGTACTTTTATAAAAATAT